CCTGGGGMAGCCTGGGGGCTGGCATTTCTTACAGTGGTCTCATGAGGTTCTCGGGCTTAGCTGACTACAGCAACCCTTGGGCTGGGCCCACCCTGTGTACCAGGTAGAAGGCCACATCAAGAGRCCAGGGTACCACGCAGGTCAGCGCAGCCATGCACATACGAGCCCCAGTCTGACTGCCAGCCGGGGCTCCTGTCGCTGGTATCAAGTAAGATGGCACCAGAAATCTGGGCTTCCCACCAGACATCTGGCCTCAGTGAGTCAGTGGGCAAGGATGGCCAGGTCTGGGGTGAGGCCCAAGAATTAGCATTCCCAGGGCCTGGGGATAGAGCGAGGCCCCAGGTTCCATCCCCAGCACCAACTCCCAGGAGACRTTGGGGAAGAGCATGCCGGGAGGAGGCCAGGCCTGGCACCCAGGAGATGCTCTGAATCCGAGTTGGGTGTTGGCCCTGCAGCGCTTCCCAGGGTTCCCAAAGCCTGTCTGGCTGCTCGATTTCAGACATCAGATCCGAGTTTCACGGTTCTAGCCTTTGCAATGGTCCCTGAGGCTGATGGTGACTGAGTCCACTGAGGCCCACAGAGAGGTCCAGTGATATTTTTGGAAAGCAAACCCATGGTGGAAGAGGAAGATCCAACAACATTTGGACGGTCTCAGTGTAGAGCAACAAGAAACATCTGAATCAAATTGCCTTTAAAATTACACTATTTTAAAAATTAAAGGGTGGGGGGAAACTCCCAGCCAAAATGTGTTTTTAAAGATTTACGGCTTTCAAAGTGTGAGTCCAACAGCTTGAAGGAGCTGGGAAAAAGCCACCCTGCCTGGCTCCTGTCAGTGCCTCCCCTTTTCCCAGTCTGGGGACGGTGGTGCTCTTTCCTGGGGCTTCCCTGTCCTGCTCTGCAGAGACACTTCCAATGCACGTTTTGGCTCAGGGAGGTGGAGACTGATGGACACCCCCAGCCTCCAGCAGGTCCAGCTTCAGAGACTCCTAAGGGAAGTCAAGCAGCAGAGGCCCGGTAAGACAGGGGACTTGGCAGATATGCCATGGTCCCCCACCCCAGGGAACTGGCTATCTGGAAGACAGTAGGTGTTGCCAGGCTCTGGGACAAATGAGGGCCCTACTGTCACATGGAGAGGGTGCAATGACCCATGGAGACTTTTCCAAGGCTGGCACTTACCCCAGAGTATAGAGTTGGGTCGAGTTCAAATGAAGGCCCCAGTTACTCCCCCAAACTAAAGTAATCATCTAAAAGCAAATACAGGGGCTGGGGCTGTAGCTCAGCGGTAGAGCACTTGTCTATGATGCCTGAGGCCTTGAGTTCAATCCCCATGTGCCACGAAAAAATCAACTTTTAAAATTAATAAAACAACGTGCAGTCAGCTCCCTGCATCTGGGGACACCACATCAGCAGATTCAACCCATCACAAGTCGGAAACCTTCAGCGAATGAGGAGGGAGAATGCATCTGTACTAAACATGCAGGGTTTTTTCCCTTGCCATTATTCCCTAAACAATACACTATAACAACTATTTACATAGCATTTACATGTATTCGGTATTATCAGTGATCTAGAGATGATTTTAAAGTTCGCAGGAAGACTGTGTAGGTCATGTACAAATACTAAGCCATTGGACATAGGGACCTGAGTGAGCATCCTTAGACTGTGGTATCCTGGGGTCCTGGAATCCGCCGTCCCCCATGGTCACTGAGGGACAACTACACTTGAAGGATACTCCCCTCATGTAAGAGGCAGGAGGGCCACACCCAGACTCAGCTCTCCCTTGAGGCAGCTGCTGTCCTTGGGCAAGTCCCAGGCATCTTGTCTACGACACAGGAAAGGCTGTGCCCACCGTGAGTCACTCCCACACCCAGAGCACCGGCCAGGGTTCCTCACTCAGGCCCTTCCTGTTCTTTCTCACTCCCAATGGGGCCTGTCATCAGCTGCATCCCACTTCAGCCACTAGTAGAATACAGGCCTGACCCCTCTCGAGCCTTCATGAGGGCTTGATAAGCACTTTCAACAGATACCCAACAGCCAGGCACCGTGGTGCACGCCTCTAATCCCACCAACTGGGAGGCTAAGGCAGGAGGATCGCAAGTCTGAGGCCAGCCTCAGCAATTTATCGAGAACCTCTTTCCAAATCAAAAATAAAAAGAGTTGGGGATGTGGCTGGTCTAGGGCCTCTGGATTCAATTCCCAGCACCACCAAAAACACAAAATAAAACAAAACAAAAAGGATATCTAACATTCCATTCCAGATGTTCCACAGTTGGATCAACCAGTCCCAGATCACCGAATAGTTAGGTTAGTTCCAATATTTCAGATGTGGGCCACGTGGAAATGAACTCTTATCTGGCTGAAGGTAGGTTCCCTGCTAGAACCAACCAAAGGCATCTGACTCCAGGGGAGGAATGGAAGCATCTGGAAGTGGTGSTCGTGTGGGGTGGGGGAGATCAGATAGCCGCAGCCACACCCAGCCGCATGCCCACAGGGGCTAAGGGCAAGAAGGGCTGCTCCCTACTGCTCTCTTCCCAGCCCCACTCCTTGCCCGTCCCTACACCCCAAGACAGCTCGGTGCCCCTCCTGTTGAGCCCAGCACCAACCACTGAGATCAGCTGAGCACAGGGGCATCTCCTCACTAGGGGCACCCGCACCAGCCACCTGCTGCTTCCTGGCCTCTGCAGCCGMGCCACAAGCTCCTTGGAGCTTTCTGGGAGTCCAGTGCGCCTAGCACTCGTGGAGTCTGGCCCACAGCTCCTCTGCCACCATCCCGTGAGATTTAAGAAGATAGAGGTCCTGAGACCTTAAAGTCTGTGGATGACACCTGTCAAACCCCTCACGACGTGGGTCAGGAGGGGCCCAGGCAGCACCCTCTGGATGCACCAATGGGCCTCCCTGTCTCTACCCTCAAGTGCAGTCACAAAGCCTACCAGCACAGGACACCACCCCACAGTGACCACTTTGCTCCGAGCAGAAACAGCTGCTCTTCCCTGGCTCCAGGGCTTTTCCCAATAAACTGCTCAGGGGGAGGTGCAGGGAGCAGGGATGATGAGGACACCGGAGACTCTCCAGCAGCACAGGCACCTGGCCCAAGACTGCTGCAAAGACACCCAGCTGCCTCCTGCTCCTGAGGGGGAGTCCACCCTGTGCAAAGCCTCACCAGCCACGCTCCCCTGCGCCAGCCATCAATAGGACRTGCACTTCTGCGGTGGGCAGGGCAGGCATCCCAGGGGGCAGAGTGGGGACAGGGGCTTTCTCTGGAGTGGCTGGACTCTGAACTTCCATTCCCCCCCCCATTGAAATGCCCTGAAGCATTTGTTGTTACTGCCCCAAGAGTGACAGCCAGGTCTGGTGCTACAGGGGCTTTTCCCTAGATTGCATCCTAATTACTGTCTAATTGCTACCTCAGTCTGTTTGCTGCTGCTAGGACCCAGCAATAAATCGCACTGCATGCTACACCAAGACAGGCCAGGTGGGTCCCTTGGGCAGGCCAGAGATATGCTGAGGCCCAGCTCTGAGGAACTCATTCAGCCTCAGATACCAGACAGAGGGACGAGTTGAGGCACCGCCACAGACCCTGACCCAAGCAAGGAAAGGAAACATGTCTAGGACTCCAGCTCAGCCACACCCTGTCTCCACTCTTCCCTTTCTCTGGCACCAGAAGCCACGGAGGCTTCAACTCCTCCCATAGCATTTAAGAGCTCTGCCTCTATCCCCACAGGCGACTAGGAAAGTCCCTGTTCAGGGGGGACAGGAACCTCAGGACATCCCCAGGTCAGGATGCCAGATACCCACCTCCTACAGGGAGCCCCAAAGTTAACCTCAGATCTCCCTCCTCTGACCTGGACCCCACATCCCCCAAATGACTCCAACTTGGAATCACAAGGAAAGTCAAAATAAATAGAGAAACAAAAACCAGTTAGTCCTCAAATGCACTCTTAGGAAAAGAACTCGGGACTGGGGGTATAGCTCAGTTGTAGAGCACTTGTCTAGCATGTGCATGGCCCCAAGTTCAATTCCAAGTACCTGCCAAACACACACACACACACACACACACACATACACACACACACACACACACACACACCCCTGGATAGTCTTTCCGTCTCCTGGAACTCCAGCCCCAGCTATACCCGCTGCAGCCCACGGACCAGCGCGACCCAGCATCAGCTCAGCGCTTCAGAGAAAGGCACAATCTGAGCCCCGCCCCGACTCGCTGAGGGGGCGGGGCCTGCACTCCAGCCACACCCCCGCGATTGTGCCCGCCCCTCCCTGCGCTTTGAGCTGCTCTTGGGCGGTGAGAGCAACAGGGCATGACTAAATCCAAATGCACTTGAATAAAAAGGGAAAGAAAGGAAATCTCAGACTCTCCATTCCTCAGAGACAGAAATAGTTCTGTGGCCTCCAGATGGACGACACAGTCACAAGGGGAGGTCTCGCCTTCCCGCCAAACTTTCCCAACGGGATGCTGGCACGGACCCGTGGAAACCAGAAAGCCTTTCTCTTTGGGGCAGTAAAATAAGAGACTGTGGCTCGTGTACTCCCTTCTGTTATAATTAAGTTGGCCAGAAATTCACCTAAGATACTCAATTCCAGACCTGACCCTCTAATTACAGCCAGAAGGCATCAGGAGACAATTACTTTCCAAAATAGTCCGCGGCAAGAAGTTCTCTGGGTACCTCTCAAACGTGCCAGCTGAACGGATCCCAGGGTCGCCCAGAGCCACCGAGCCGGCTGCTCCCCCCCCTTCCCCCTCCCCATGCTCAGGCTCCACCCACCCACAAGAATCTGTGATGTCCCCCAGGGTTTGAGGTGGCCAGAGCTCCAGGGAAACCTGCAGGCGACTGTCCTCGCCGTGCCTGGGAGCAGGGGCGCCCTCTCTGCCACCCTCCATAAACCCAGCATGCCTCCTGATGACAGGGGCCACCACTCTCATTAAATCCTAAATGGCTAATGAAAAACACCCCCGCGGCTCGCCAAGTGTGCAAAACAGAAAGTACCTCCTTGGGCAGCGACGGCCGCCGCGGCCACCGCCAGAGGACAGGCCTTTTTACCCGGGTCGGGGAAACCGCTGCCCTCCAGGATCCCACTTTTGACGTCTTTCTTCTCGGCAGCCGTGGCTGGGGCCGACGACATCTCCATCTCAGCCGCTCATAGTCCCGGGTGGCGACCCTGGAGGAGACGACAAAGACGTTCACCAACACTGCACCCAAACCAGCCGGGAGCCGCCGACCCAGATTCGCGCTGCCCCTGGCTTCTCCAGCAACCAACTTCCTCCTCACTCTCTTATAATTGGGAAGGAGGGTTTAATTAATTTTGAGAATTATTCATCCTGAGATTCATCTGGTCTTCGGAACAACCACATGGACAGCAGTCTAGCGTTTTCATTGTCTTTTATCCAGATTTTTTAAAAAATCTAAGCAACAAGTTCCCACTGATGTAAGTCAAGGAGAAAGAAAAAAAAACTACCAGGAGAAATGAAATCAGAAAGAATGAACTTCAACTTAGAATGGGGGTGGGGTGGGTGGATGAAAATAAATATAATTACAACAACTGAGAGGTCCTGGAAGAAAGGGCTTAGTCATCTCCCTGCACACAGAACCCACCCTTGATTTATTCACTTGTATACTTATTCATTCATTCACCTGTGCACTGCACAGAATTTCACCATTATTGACTCCCAGGCACTCTGTTAAGGTTTTTTTCCCTTTGTTTTTTGTTTATTTTGTGGTACTGAGGACTGAACACTGACTGAGCTTCCCACATACTAGGCAAGCACTCCACTACTGAGTGACATCCCCAGCCTTTTTTATTTTGAGACAGGGTCTTGCTAAATTGTCCAGGCTGGCCTCAAACTTGGGATCCTCCCRCCTCAGCCTCCTAAACACTGRGATCACAGGTGTGCACCCYGATGCCACATAGTCCGTAGATTCTCAAGTCCCTTTTATGATCTGTCGTCGTGTCCGATACAGAAGATGTTACATGGCATTTCCAGTCTACATAAGGAACAATAGGGGGAAAGGAAAATGTAGGTTTGATTTCAGCTAGCACGAGGTGGTGTTGAAAAACAAAGCAGAGCGGGTGACCGGGGCAGAGAGCGGGGYGGTGAGGGGCAGAGAGGTGAGAGGGGGCCACCAAGGCTTGACAAGCCAGATGAAAGGAGGTGTTGCGCAGAGGAGGGACTGGATACAAGCCACAGCATGAGGGGATCCTTCTGCTGGTACTCGGGAAACAATCTGGGGTCAGATGGCACTACCCCAATAACCCAGAGAACTATGGTGGTGGTGGGGGTCTAGGTAGTGGCAGAGAAGCTAGTGAAATGTGGGAAATTCTGAAGGCAGAGCCAAGAGCCGGTCACAGAAGGGATGTGGCAGGGTGAGAAGAGRCAGGAACACACCGTGGGACGCAGGGCACAGGTCCCCAGCCGTGGGTGGGTCCATAGTGCGCACTTTGTAAGATGCCGAATCACAAGCAGRCACTGCTAATACAATATTTATATCGAATACTACACAACAGAGTTTGAGAGTGAAGAATTTTAAAAGGAGGGTGATATCCAGGGTGATTCTTCTGCTGAGCACTTGGATGAATGAATGGTGGTGCCACTGACAAAGATGGAGGAGAGCCGGGAGGAACAGGTTACTGGGCAGAAATGGGGAGCTCRGTGGCTCAGGTGAAGTTTGAGGTGCCTACAGAGACCTGCAGAGCTGGMAGAGGGTGCAGACTGTGGGGAACACACAGCTCACAGGGGAGCCAGAGGCTAGAGGAGGGGATATAGCAGCCACTGGACCCGAGAACCCAGAAAGGAGGTGAGGTAGAGAAGGAGAAGTTCCATCAGGGAGATGCCCGCCAAGAGGAGTGAGCAGGGTTGGGAACAGGGGAATAGAAGAAAAGTTAAAAAACTAACAGAGAAGTGGGGGGTCCTGGAAGCCACCCTGGGAAAGCGAAGCTCTGGGGAGGAAGAGTGAGGCACTCCATCACTGGCCACTGAGACCTCCATTGTCACAAGGCAAGCCACCAGGGCCTGGGCCACTGGGGGAAGAGAAGGAAATAGATACAGGCACCTGGGTCAGAAAATTTGTCTTCCAAAGAGTCAGGGAGACAGGGCCACATTTTGGGGGGACTGGGGAGTCCAAAAGGTTCAAGGTTGCTGCATATGGAAGGAGGGGTTGCTGCAGGGTCTGTGGGGTAGCAGACACCCCAGGCAGCCGTCAGTTCCACCCCCCACCGCCTCCACACTAAATCCACATAGGTAAGCCCCAGAATTTTATTTTTCAAATCCTCACAATATTCCCACGTCCTTCTAAACAGAAAAGAGTGGGTACACAAGAACAGAGTGRGGCGTGTGAAGGACAGGTAGCAAACCCTGCAGTTCCTAGTCCTGTCTGCAAACCAGCTCATCCATGCCCCACGATCTTTCAAAACTCCCTGCCCAGAAAACCCAAGCAGATGGGGAGAGGAAAATTTCCTTGAGGATATTGGTGAGTTATGGGGTTCCCTCTGTCCTGTCTGCTCTTTTAACACATTTTTTATACTCTGTTCCTTTACGTTCCAGCTATGGGAATGACCTCCAGCCATGTGCCCTGGTCCAGGATCACCTTCCTTCTCCCCTCTCATCCTGCATTCAATGAGCTACAATCACCATGGCTGCATCCCCAGAGCATCTCCCAGCGATGCCTCACCTGAGGGTAGTTCTGTGCCCTTCCCTGCTGGGCAACGTTCCTGTCTCTGATCCCTCTCCAGGTCATCCCGACCCTGTAGCCAGGCACCTTCCCCCAAATCAAGTCTCACCACATCCCTCCCCTGACCACAGCCCTGCGAGCCCCAGGGCCTTCAGGTGGAGCATATCTGTGTCTACCTGMAAGGTGGGCGGGGCCAGCTTGCACACAAACCACCCATAGCAAACCCCCCACCTTTTCTGTATTTGACCAACTCCTGCTCTGACTTCAAGATGCCACTCATGTCACCTCTTCCAAGAAGCCCCCTGCCCCTCCCAGCCCATGGGTTGGAGCTCTGCAACAATCAGCTTATGTCCCAATCCACAYCCATATTATCTTCATTGCTACCTCCAGGTGACACAAAGTGACTGCCCAGGAATATCTGTCAAAGAATGCCACTAGCGGATCTTTGAGGTAGAAGAATCAATTTTCTCAAATGCAAGTGATTTTGTAGACGGCCTACGTTTTCCTCCCTACAGGTCTTAGGATTTGGATTTGGAAATAGGACAGAACTCAAAATGACAGTTGAAACAACAAGCTTTTAACCACATTTACCCAATGCCAGGCACTAGGCAGAATAAGCTCATTTAATCCTCAAAACATTTTATATAGGAGAAAGCCAACACTAGGCTGAGTAACATGTCTAAAGACACATTCCTCCTAAGTGGCTATGCTACACCGTGAGCCCAGGCTGTCTCACACCAAAGCTGTCCCTTGAGTGAGGATTCCCCAMGTGCAATAGGATTTACCTAAGAATTCCCCGGCAGGCATTGAGGTAAATAACCATTGAGTCCTTCTGGGGTAGGAAGCATTGGACCAGGGGCCCAGCAGGCCCAGAGCAGGATTAGGCATGGCCCCTATCCTAAGGTCACACCGAGACGGCCAGGCTTGGGCCATCTTGGGCAAATGCTGAGGCTCTGGCTGGGGCTGTACCTGACAGTCACTGTGCTCATGTGGGTGGCCCCATCTGGAGAGGCACAACTGGGGGGCAGCGGGGTGTAGCCGTACATTCATTCAAACTCTTCACTGGTGGTTCACCGACGGTGAGCTTCATCCTTCACTCTGAGCTAGGCTGGGAGCTGGCCTGCCTGGCAGGAATCCTACCCCTCCACCACCCCTCCCCAAATAAACTGAGGRTTCTTCCCTTGGATCTCGACATTCCCTGGACCCATGCCACCTCTCCTGCAGCCTGGTCACATCTGCCATGTGCCCTCCTGGCTCGCTGCTCACCTGTGACTTCCTTCAAGCCAAAGTAGGACCTTCACCCCTCAAGGCCAAGCCCACCTAAGCAGGTGTTCAGTCCCCTTCCCACGGGGACTGGGAACCACTCTCTGTGGCCCAGAAACCTGAAGGGGACAACTTGAGGCRCCCCACAGGCTGAACACGCGACCAAACCCCAAGGTCTGGGTAACCAGGATCCACAGGGGCTGACGTGGGCATCAATCTGCCCTCACTAAGTGCAGATGGGGGGACTAAGGCCCAGCAACTCAGAACCCCTGGACTTTAGTGTTGGGGATGCCTGGGAGGAAAGAGCAGAGACTATGGCCACTTCCATTAGGGACAGAAGGAAAGGGCAGCATCCTTGGTAGCAGCATGCTACAATCTGACTGCTGTGTCCCCCAAAACTTGTATGTTGAATCCTGACCCCATGGGGATGGTATTAAGAAGCGGGGCCTAGGCCAGGTGTGGTGGCACCCACCTGTAATTCCAGCAACTTGGGAGGCTGAGGCAAGAGGAGATCAAGTTCAAGGCCAGCCTCAGCAACTTAGCAAGAGCTGTCTCAAAAAAAATAAAATAATAAAAGGGTGGGGCCTTCAGTTCAGTGGTAAAGCACCCCTGGGTTTCAATCTCCAGTTCATAAAGAAAGAAGAAAATTAAGGAGTAGGGCCTTTGGGAAGTGACTGGGCCATGAGGAATCCGCCCTCATGAGCGGCATTAGTGACCTCATAGAGGCTCACGGGGCCCTTCTGCCTTCCACCATGTGAAGACCCCCTGGTGTTGAGGAGCGGGCCCTGGCCAGACACAGATCTGCTGCGGCCTCCATCGAAGACTTCCCAGCCTCTGGAACTATGGGAAATAAATGTCCACTGTGCATGAAGGGCCCAGGCTCTGGCTTTCTGTTTAGGATCCCAAACCAGCAAAGACCCTGCCGGGCAGCTCCCTCACGCCAAGGTCCCCCCATGTCATCCCAGACTCTTGTGCAGGAGGAAGCTGAGGCCCCCAGGGGGAAGTAAAGTGCCCAAGGTCACTTGGCCTACTGTCCCCTCCTCTGCTGGACCTGAGGCCTCACAGTGTGGTCGCTGCAGGAACAGGACGCAGGGAGCACTCTGGCGGGTAGGAGATTCACTGGGATTCCTGGTCCCCAGACTGTGGCGGCCTGGATCTGGGGCAGGGGAGCAGCTGTGCCCACAGAGGAACCTAGAGTTC